TTTTAAATGTAATTATTTCAGGGTCAACAGAGTCTACAGGGTCTTACTATGTAGATCAGACTCCTAGTGATTCTCCTTTTTTCAGCCTCCCAAGTGCTGGGATTACAGGCGTACTCCACCATGCCCAGTCTCAGTCTCCGTTTCAGTGCGCCCCAGGGGTGGGGTAGGCATGGCATGCCAGGGATCAAACCCTGGCCATTGCGCTCTGCCTAAGCAGGCGCTTTAGTCCACTGATGTATCTGGCTGGCCCTTGTTGTCACCTTTTTCTTAATCCACAGAGCTTTTCTTCTTTTTCTCTTTGATGTTTTCCAGGTGTCATGAATTTGGGCCCAGGAAAAGCTATGATATTTGTTCCCGTATTATGTTACCATCTTCCTTCTCTGAATTTAAAAAATTTAGCTATTTATTAGAATTTTTATTTTTATTTCATTAATGACTAATGATTGAAAATCTTTCATGTGCTTTGTGGCCACCTCTACATTTTGTTTGATGGAGTGTCTGGTTAGATTTTTTTTCCCATTTAAAAACAAGGTTACCATCTTACTGTTGAATTTTTGGATATTCTTTCTCTATTTTTCTAAAAAGATCTGTGAACCCTGTGATTTGCAAACATATTCTTCTAGCCCATAGCTTATTTTTTTGTGATCGTAACAGTATCTTTTACAGATTAAAAGTTGTAAGTTTTAATAGTTTATAAATTCTTAAGTATTTTGTCATGGTTTTTATATCTCAGAACCCTTTGCTTACCTAAGGCCACAAAGATTTTTCTGTTTTGATCTAGACGTTTTATATTTTTATAATTTATAGTTAGATGTACAATCCATTGTAAATTAATTTTTGAATTAAGTATGACAGATGGGTTGAGTTGCTGGTTTGCTTTTTTTTTAAATATCACATCCAGTTCTTATAGCATTGTATATTGACAAGATTGTCCTTTCTTGATGGAATTGCCTTCGTTTTTTTTTAATCAGTTGACTATATATGCATGTATCAATTTCTGTATATTTCACTGTATTCTTTGACCATATATACTATGTATGGTCAGCCCATACTATATTATTTTGATTACTGTGACTTACAGTAAGTCTTTTCTTTTGACTGAGAAAAACTTAGTAATATTATATCTATTGTTCATGGTCCACAATCACACAATTTTTAGTTACAGAACAGAGATTGGAAATGGGAATTTTTTGTTTTCTTCCAATATTTTTTATGTGATGTTCTTTTTTTAGATAGAAGTTTTGAAATGAGTAGTGTGAGGTCTTTAACTTTTTTCTTATGTTGTGTTAGCCATGTTTCCTTGCCTTCCCGTATACATTTTAAACTCAAATGTCTACATCTATGGAAAAATCTGCTTAAGTTTTATTTGGGATTGCCTTGAATCTATAGATTAATCTGGAGAGAAATTACATGAGAGAATAACAGTATTGAGTTTTCTAGTTCATTACTGTAGTGTATTTCTTCATTTATATAGGGCTTCTATAGTTTTTAGCTCTTGTTGAGTAATAGACTGCCCTAAAGCACAGTCTCAGGAAATAACAAACATTTATTACATTATAACATCCAGCATCAGGAATCTGGAAACAACTAAACTGGGCTTTTCTGGTTCTAGGTTTCTCATGAGGCTGTAATCAAAGTGTTGGCCATGGCTGCAGTCATCTCAGGGATTGGTTGGGGGAAGATTACCTTCCAAGCTCCTTAACCTGGTTACCGGGAGGCCTCATAAAGATGTGTCCAAGTTCACTGATGTGAGCTTTTCCATAGGGCTGCCTCCTGACATAGCAGTTAGCTTTCCCTAGAGTAAATGATTCAGTAGAGATTGAGAGAAAGATTATATAATTTGGAAGCCAGCCACGTTTTAGAACTTTATCCTGAAGCTGCTGTTCCACTCTATGTCTGTAACTGAAGCAAGTTACTAAGTTCAGGTTACACTCAAGGGGACAGAATTTAAATGGTGAGTTAAGTATAGCAGGTGGGGGTCCCAGAGAGCCACCTTAGAAGTTACTTATCATATCTTGGGGTTTTCTGTAAATGTTGCATAATTTTCAGCATAGGGTTTTTTATTTTATTACACTTAAATCTACATTTTAATTTTTACAATGTTATTATGAATACCTTAAATTTTTTCTAATTCTAATTGTTTGTTGTCAATATGTAGAAAGACAGTTAATTTTCCATGTAAAGATCTTGTGTCTGGAAACCTTGTTAGATAGACTTACTCTATGAATTTTGCTTTTTTTATTTACAATATATCTTGAAAATTAAATTGAAATCGGCCTCAAAGTTGTATTAATATAGAGTTAATTATTACCTGGAGTTCAAAAAAGTTTGTCAGTCTAAAATTTGTCTGTTAATACTGCTTTGTATATATTTCAATGTTGAATAAATATGCAGGATTTATAAGTAGTGGTAAACTGATAATTGCTTTTCACTTTCAGGCTTTAAAAAAATGGATTGAAGAAAATTCTGCACTTAACTTTCTAAAACCTGGCATATTAACTGGACGTGGCAAAACAAATAATAAAACAGGTA